ATCGCGATTCGGCTGTTAATTGAGTCGGTCAAATGAGTCGCGGCGAACTAATTACCTCGAAATCCTGCACTAATTATGAAAACCAGTGGCTTTTCAAAGAAGCCACTGTCTTCATTTCGATGGAGTTGAGAAGAATGTTAAAAGTCCAGCGGATTTTTTACTTCAGTTGCAAAACCCGTGCTCCGACAATGAAATCCGATAAGAACCACACATGCATGGGATATCAGTTTCGCACTTGATACTCGCTACCTTTCGGTCCTCTAGGAGGACTGAACAAAAATACGCACTCATTGCAAGAGAGCAACTTTCAAAAGCTCCTAAACCCTGTAGGTTTACTGCTGACCAGTCCTGGTACAAGATAATCATCTACATTGGCTTGATTACTTCCACATATCCTGGCAAAACCACACCGGCTCGATAATCAAGTTTGCGCAACTTCCTATTAGAGGGCTTTTATAAAGTTCACGTATCAAATCACGGAAACTTGTCCCATAAATTGATTACCCCAAGCACGAAGGGAAATTTGAATAGACGCCAGAACAGCATTTTTTCCATTTAAATCCGCCAACTGACCTAAAAGCCGTGTTCGTTCAGAAATGGACTGACAATAGGCCATCATCATCCGTCCCCACGATTTTCATCAAAAGAACGGCACCATCGAAGCGGAAAAATCACAACGACAGAAATAAGAGAAGTCGCAGGAACAATGACGATTTTTTTCCTGCCCTTTCTGCTAGCGTTCGTTGCCGTGCAAGGTGGCTTTATTTGCCTCATATTCTCTTCATCCATCAACCGGATTCAGAGTGTTTTAGTTACATTCGCAATTCGCTTTTGATTGATATTTCTTCAAAAAAAATCGTCCGCAATTATTGCACGTTAATGAAATCACCACGTTGATAGGGAATCGACAAATGCACGTTTAGTCAGTGCACGTGGACCAACTTGAAAGAGCGAAAGTTCAGCAAAATTTCCTACTTTTGACGAGTTGCTTCTCGCAAGAATAAATATGAACAGCGAGTGCACTGTCTAAATGTGCACGGCGATCCGTGCATTGGGCCCACACGGTGAATACTGCAGAACTTGCTTTGCATTTTTTCTTCTAAAGTGAGCAGAAAATACTTGCCGGCAAATATTGCACGTTATTATCAATGTGTGAAAAGTGCGCCATTCGCGTGATTTGCGACACAAAATCAAACGGAATCGACCATTGCACGTTTAGTCAGTGCACGAGGACACAGAAAGCAAAAATCCACCCATTAAATTCCCTTGTGCAGCAACCGGAGCGATTAGGCATCACCGTACATGCCGCAAAAGATGTTTTTCATTTCTGGACCTTGCCAGTTTTTCGACTAAAATGCCATTTTCACAAGACATTGAAGTTTGAAATTTCCGCTGCTTCTATGGAGCCAGAGCAGTAATTGTTTCGATATTTTAAGTGGGACATCCGGTATATTTAGAGAGGACAGGATACAGGGTGATTCAAAATGAGGCTTACATTATTAATGATTTGCTTCTCTGCCAAAAGGAGCAAAAATGTTGATGGAAATTGATTAGTGTTTGGACTATCCGGAATTCTGGTGTTTGGCGCACAAAAATTAGCCGAATCAACGAGTGTACGTGGACAAACTTAACATCGCAACGCTTTTGGCTTATATATATTCCTCTAACTTGCGCAAAAAACTAATTGTCATAATCAGTGCATGAATGTGCGCCATTCTAGTAGTTGCGGGTAAAAATAGACGAAAGCGCGAGTGCACTTACTAAATGTGCAGACCGTCGCCGAAATCACGAGATTCTTGCCTGTGTAGCTTCGCTCCTTCATGAACATAAAAACATGTTTTTCTTTGCTTGGGAAGCGTTGTTTTTCGAAAACTCCCACTCAAACCCTCCCTTTAGGTCGAATATAAGAGCTCAGGGTGCTCGTAATGTTCGCGTCAAATCTGGCATAATCCCCAACAAAGTACCGAACTATTTTCACCGAATTTTCCAGGTCTTGAACTCGGAATTGAGGCTTAAATTTAGAACCGCGACGGATTGATTTACGCCTCTTGTCGCTGGGAATTCGGTAATTGTGACATCGACAAGAAACAACGCATCAAATCGAAAAATACGACTGTGCAGCCGCTCCAAGCTTCCATTGCTAACATGGGGAGGTCAAGTCCAAAGACTTCTGCCCGGTTGCACCGTTTGACTAAACAGGGATTAAAAATTTAATCGTCGTTTAGTTTGAAAAATGTGTTGTACCGTCGCTTAACCACTGTTTTGTGTATTCTAAACAACGATTATATTAACCGGCACTT